GATGGATGCGCAATGAAAATATATGTAAACAATACAAAAATTTAACATTTAAGATAAAAATATAACAACAGCACTTACTTTCTTATTGTTGATCCTTCCCAAGTGAAGGGTAAAGTGTAACAACTGCTTTTAAAAAATTCTGGAAAGTCTCGTCGCTGAGTGAGTGATCGCGAGTGCGCCGCCATAAATACTCAGCGAGGTAATGGTCGAACATGCCTTCTGCGTGGCTGGTGTAATTACGGAGAAAACGTTTTATTGCCGATAAACTTACTATTGGAAAACCACGAATTCTTTCTTATACTTCTGCAAACATCATGCGTATTCATACCTTTTTTTCGACATCTCCATTCAAATCCATCCAAAAAACAGCACTCTTTCGTTCATTTAATCCCATTTGCTCATTACATTTAGGACATTCATAACTTGAAGCAATTAATCCTTCTTTCATACACCATTCAATCAATTCTTTTTTGCTTCTAGCATTCAATAACGTAAAAACTTCTAACGTGTATTCACTTACAAGCGCAGCCATACTTTCAACCCGGTGCCCAACAACAAAATGAAATTTGAAATGCGCGCCCACAAATGACGAAAATTCTAGAAAAAGTTAGGGTTGCCATATGTTGTATTTAAAAGCAAGGTTACCATGACGGCTTAATTATCACCAACCAAAGTAATTCGCGCCAAGGGTGGGGGCTCTCCTAGGAGTGAACCATTTATCGTTTTGATATTTCTGTTATACTTGGATAAAGTAAAAAGAAAATTCGGGATTCTAAACCGTGGACCTCTCTCACCCAAAGCACGAATGATACCCCTAGACCACTGAGCAACGTCGTATCAGTCTGATCCAAGCATTTAAAAAAGGTTCCAAGAGGATTGCTATTATAATTTTCAATGTTTGAAAAGAAAATAATTCCTTGTTTACTCCTGGGTTATTAAATTCTGTAGAAAAAGACACAAGAGGAACAGTAAACTGTTTTCCTTCAAAACAGTTAACCACAGTGGGCTCGACCGAGAATTGAACGCGGGACCTCTCGCACCCGAAGCGGGAATCATATTTCTAGACCACCGAGCCTCGTTAAAGTTTGTAAACAAATTTGTGAACTTTACCGTAGAAAGCAATATATTAACCAAAAACTCTGTAGGAATGTCTTGCAAAAATATTGTTCCAATATAATAAAATTTTTTTCACATTCTTCGCGTTTGTAGTTTTATCGTTTTGATATTGCTGTTATACTTGGATGAAGTAAAAAGAGATTTCCGGGCTGGATCGGGATTTGAACCTGGGTGAGTGAGTGAGTGTGGGGTTTATTGGCGCAAGGGCCAATTTTGGCCAAGCTGCGCCAAACACTTGTTAAACTAAAAGTCGTATAATTTTAAAAATATATAGGTTTAAAAGTATATGTATACACATATATGCATGCATGCATGCATACATATAATATACACTGCTGGACAATTGCTAAGGACGGATCACAAATTGCTATGTAGCATAACATTAAGCGAGACATGAGGCCTAGTAGGATAAAATATAGTTGCCACACTGTTCAGACATTAGAATAAAGAATATTTATTGTTCTGGAAAGTACAAAAGCTGTGAAACATCTGAAAAAAAAAATGTTCATTTGATCTGCGTACGGAGAAATGGAACAACGCATCTAAAAGTCAGCAGGCACCTTAAAGAAAGGTATCAGTACGGGATATGTCCACCGTTTAGTGTGATGCAACATTCCACACGTCGTACCATACTTTGCACAACATTATCCAGCAGCCTTTGAGGCAATTTATCCCATTCCTCTGTGAGTGCACGGATGAGGGTGTTCTTGTTTGTCGGAGGATAGTTTCGACCAGCAACTTGCCTCCCCAAAGCATCGCACACATTTTCAATGGGGCTTAGATCTGGAGAACGCGCTGCCCATACGAGACGTTGAATACCCTCGCTGTCTAGACCATCCCGAACAGCGAGTGTTCGATGACATGTTGCGTTGTCGTCCATAAAAACAAATTTATCACCGACAGCACCACGGAAAAGACGAACATGAGGAAGTAGAACTTCATCAATGTATCGTTGGCCCGTCATAGTCCCATTCGCAACCACATGTACGAGCGTGCGGCCATTGATCATGATGCCGGCCCACACCATGATACTGCATGTCGGATATCGGTCCTTTTCCTGGATATTTTCTGGACGATAAGCAGTACCACTCTCGCGCCAGATCAGTTGGCGTCTACAATCCGATGACAGACTGAACCTACACTCATCTGAGAATAGTACGCATGCCCAGTCCTGTTCAGTCCAATTGTGATGCTCACGACACCATTGCAAACGGGCATTACGGTGCTGTCTGGTCAATGGGACACACACAACAGGTCTGAGTGCGTATAGTCCTCCTCCCCTCAAACGTCTGGCAACAGTTTTTCGGGAGATCTGCTTTCCTGAGGCATCAAGAAACTGATTTTCCACCTGCTGCGCTGTGGTGCGCCTGTTACTTTTTGCTGATATAGGACGATATATCTGTCTTCTGCAGGCGTCGTACTTCTAACACGACCTCCCCCGTGCCATCTACTACACATTACAGTAGTTTTAAATGACTTCCACAGCCGTGAAACAACGCTGTGAGCGATGTCGAACTCCCTGGCAACATCTGTTATTTTTCGCCCTTCTTCGTTCTTTCCAATAATTCGGCCACGCATAAAATCATCTATGTGATGTCGGGAAGACATGTCAAAAATTTTAAGTTCGTCTATTAAATCTTTCCTGTAAAACTTTGACTTGAAACAACAACTGTCCACACGCGTCAAAACCTTTAAAGCTCTTATGAACGCTATCACGTGATGAACAGACGTGGAAAAAAAATTTGCATACCCATACCTCTTCTTACTAATATCCCGCACTTATTCTAATTTTCCACATTTTGCTTCCTTTCATTTTGTGGTTGCTATGGATGATAGTGTTATCCGTCCTTAGCAATTGTCCAGCAGTGTAGTAAAAAGCCAAAGAAATACACAAATCAAATCATATGTAAAAATCCAATAAAATTTGGTGGGGTGATGATGATGATGATGATGATTGTTAATTTTAATGGCGCAAGGGCCAACTTTGGCCAAGCTGCGCCAAACACTTGTTATAATATGAATAAAAATATATATATAAAAGTATATTTACACATTATATTATGCATGCATGCATGCATGCACGCATGCATACACACGTAAAATATATTAAAAATACAAAGAAACACACAAATAAAATTAAATGTAGAAATCCAATTTTTAAAAGGAAGGCAAAAATATTTTGGTGGGGAGTTTCCCCCACCAAGTCAGATAAGGTTAAAACAGATGTATGAAAGAAGGTGGTGCGATGACGGTTAAAAACGGGACAATCTATTAAAATGTGATAAACCGAATATGGCATTTTTTACGAGGGACATTCTGGGGCATTTTCACCCAACAGAAGGTGCCTGTGCGTGAAACGAGTGTGACCAATGCGAAGTCAAGTCAAGCGGACATCGTGTCTTCGCACTGGTAGTGCTGCCCAATGAAAAGTGGAAGGATGAATGTTATGCAGTTTGTTGAGGACCTGTTGATCCCAAGTCTCTTGCCATACACGATAGATATAGTTCTTTGCAGAAGTTGTTAAATCTTGGCAACAGACAGGACGCTGCATTTGATCAGACATGGATCGTGTAGCGGTATCAACCTGTTCATTACCAAGTATACCCACGTAACCTGGTACCGAGGAAAAAATTATATCAAAACCCTTCCTTTCCAATTTTCGCAGAAGAAGAAGTATTTCGATCACAGTGGGGTGTCGGCGTTCTGTTAAAAAATGCAAGGCATCTAGAGCACTCATGCTGTCAGTGTACACACAAAAATGACGGTGGTTGGAAATTAATATATGTTGAAGTGCGATAAGAATGGCAGTTAATTCTGCACTAAAGACAGACATGGAATTATGTAAGCTAATACTTAAAATGGTATTATTAAAAACAACACCACACCCAACATGTCCTGCAGTCTTCGACCCGTCCGTGTAGTCGGGTATGTACTTAGAATACTTACTGCGATGAAAAGAAAAGAGTTGCTGATAAATAACATCGGCAGTGCCTGCTTTGTCATAGCCCGAAAAGGGGTTGTGATAGTTAAAAATGTGGATGTGCCAGGGTGGAAATGCAAGGATATTATTTTCCTGGATATTTATGTTATTTAAGTGGGCGTCATTAAGAACAGACTTTGCTCTTTCCGAAAAAGGTTTGATGTGAAATGAACGGGCCTCATAGAGTCGGTTGAGACCAATGGCAAGAGCAAAGGGTTTTAATGGGTGAGAAGGAACAGACATAGCACGAATAAAATAATTGGCACATAATTGCCTCCGCCTTAGTTCTAAAGGTGGTTGGTGGCATACCACATACAAGCTGGTAACAGGCGAAGTTCTGAAGGCACCAGAGCAGATTCTTAGAGCAGAATGATGTATTGTGTCCAATCGCTTTAAGACAAATGCACGAGCAGAACCGTACACTACACAACCATAGTCCAAACGTGAAAGTATTAGTGCTTGGTACACTCGGAGTAACGAGACTCTATCCGCTCCCCATAAGGTATTTGATAGTACCTTTAAGATGTTGAGGGATCGTTCACATCTCTTCCGCAAGTAAAGGACATGCGGAAGGAAAGTCAATTTGCAGTCAAAGATTACTCCGAGGAAGCGCACCGCACTGACGACAGGTATTTGAATATGTCCTATATGAATAGAAGGATCAGGGTGAAGATTACGTTTTCTGCAAAAATGGACACAGTTGCTCTTGAAAGGAGATATCGTGTGTCCATTCTGATCGCACCACTTAACTAATCGAGTGACAGTTGTTTGCAGCTGCCGCTCAATTAGTCGCATATCTGAACCTTGACAAGAGACTTGCAGATCGTCAACATAAAGCATTCCTCGCACAGAAGGTGGAAGTTGATGAAGTATGTTACTCATATGAATATTAAAAAGGGTAACGCTCAAAACGCTACCCTGAGAAACACCTTGATCTTGAATGAATTTATGAGAAGATGATTGACCAATGCGTACATTAAAATACCGAACAGCTAAAAAGTTAAAAATAAAAATAGGAAGATTTCCCCTTAGGCCAAAATCATACATATTACGGAGAATCCCATAACGCCAAGTTCGGTCGTATGCCTTTTCTATATCAAAGAAAAGGGAAACCAAGTGGTTTCTCCTAACAAAGGCATCCCTGATTTGCGACTCTAGGAATACGAGGTTATCAAGAGTAGATCGGCCCTTGCGGAATCCACTCTGTAGAGGAGAAATACACTTATCTTTCTCTAAAACATATACCAATCGAGTATTAACCATACGTTCAAAGGTCTAACAGAAGCAGCTCGTCAGAGCAATGGGACGGTAACTCAGAGAATCTGTTGCCACCTTGCCCGGCTTAAGGATTGGAATCACAATGGCCTCCCTCCAGCTGGAGGGAAAGCAATGCTTCTTCCAAACTCTGTTGAATAAAAAAAGAATGTTGGCCAGAGAGTTTGGATGTAGATGACGGAGCATCGCGTATGTGATTCCATCCGGTCCAGGGCTTGTATTGTGCGCTTGTAAGAGTGCCTTTTTTAACTCAGTCATCGTAAAATCACAGTTATATGGAAAAAAGGAACGAGTGGAAAAGTTAATCGGGGTACGTTCTGCTTGCCTTTTAATTTCGAGAAAACGAGAATTATAAGAGGCTGCACTCGATACACTCTGAAAAGTTTCAACCAGAATGTTGGCAATTTCGACTGGGGAAGAAAAGACAGAGTTCGAGGTTTGTAAAATAGGGAAGGAAAATTCCCGATATATTCCGTTAGCAGCTTTAACCTTTTTCCATAATTGTTTACTGGACGTTGACGAAGTGAGTGAGGACACATATCGGATCCAAGATTGCCTCTGACTCTGACGCCTTACTCTGCGAGCATTTGCTTTTGCCTTTTTGAACGCCAAGAGATTCTCCATAGTGGGATATCTGCGAAAGATTCCCCATAACTTCCGCTGGTTCTTATATGCTGTCTGACAATCAGCATTCCACCAAGGTTTGTAACGTTGGAATGAATGACTTGAAACTTTTGGTATGGATAAATCAGCAGCAGCAATCAAAACATTGGTGACTTCTTGTACAGCAGTATCAATACTTTCTGTCTTGACCATTGCATCAGTTATCACAGTCAACTGTGTGAAAAGGGCCCAGTCTGCACGACGATAAGAATACGTAGGTGGGAAGGTTTTTCCAACCGGATCAGAATCGTGAGAAAGGATAACAGGGAAGTGGTCACTATTATAGAGGTCCTTCTCAACGGACAAATTTAAATGTGGTAAGAGTGATGGTGAGTAGATGGCCAAATCTATTGTGTGAAAGGATCGTGTGGGTTCGTGAAAGTACGTTGGTTCCTCGTGATTAAGCAGAGAGAGACAGTGATCAGAAAGCACCTGTTCAATCTGTCTGCCACGAGGGTTCGTCTTCGCACTACCCCACAGAGTGCTATGTCCATTGAAGTCACCAAGTATGATAAAGGGTGCTGGCAACTGATCAACCAGGTTGTTCAAGTCATGTTGGTGGATAACAGTATTTGGTGGCAAGTAAAGGCAGCAGACTGTGATTAGGCTCGTGGAGTGGATTCTCACGGCTACAGCCTGCAACGAGGTATGGAGTGGCAGAGCACTAGATGGAACATCAAGGGATGTAAAAATACATACGCCTCCGGACACAGAGGGTCCCTCCGTGTCTTTCCGCACACAACCATACCGACGTATCTTTGTCGTGTGACAAGACTTCAAGAAAGTCTCTTGAAGTGCTACGCATACTGGATGGTACTGACGTATGATCTCTTTTACGTCATCTGTATGCGATCTATAGCCACGACAATTCCAAGAAACCAGGGAAGTTATTTTTTGGGCGAACTTGGCGAAAAGGGCCCTTTCAAGGGATTATCTGCCACTTGTGTAAAATCAGTCTCTAAAAAGCGCTCATCTTCCTCGGATGCCAGACCTGTGACGTAATCCGTGTCAGAAGGATTAGCGTCTGTCTCCATGGCATCCGAGATTTTAGAAGTTTTCCGTCTCCGAAATTTTTTGGAGACGGGAGATGTTTCATTGGGGGAATCTTGTTCCCTCGCAATCTTTACGGATGTGTTTTTTTCAGGATTTTTCTTTAAATTGGACAGAGGTTTTATGCGCATTAAGTCTATTTTTATGTTATCTTTTCGAGGACGATGTAGTGGAGATGGTTGTTCTTTAATTTTCCCTTTTGTCTTAGACATGGGAGTTGGTGGCTGAGGATTCGGTATAGTAGATTTTTTTGAAGAAATGGAAGGTAAGAGTTGCGTTTGGACAGAGGATGATGTGGTAATAGCAGTAGGAATATGTGTTCTTTGTTTGGATGATAGTGGTGGAAGTAATTTCAAAGGTGGACATTTTATTTTAGTTATATTTTCATCTGTTTGGGTAGAATTATTTAAAGTAGAGGATTTGGCAGCTTGAGCGTAAGTTTGAGATAACTGTGGGACTATTAATTTACGTGCTTCTGGGTAAGAAATATTTTTAGTTGTTTTTATTTCCTGTATTTGTTTCTCTATTTTCCATTTAGGGCATACTTTGGAATCTGATGGATGAGGTTGTAAACAATTAACATATTTTGGCTCTAGATTACAATCTGTGGAAGCATGTCCAACAGATGCACATCTAGAGTAAGTAAGTTGACCACGGCAGGAAGTTTGTGAGTGACCGAACCTCTGGCACTTAAAGCAGCGCAGAGGATTCGGTATGTATTGGCGTATTCTACAGTTAAGGTATCCAGCTTTGATATTTGTCGGTAGTATTGGGCTATTGAAAGTTAAAATTAAATGTTTAGTTGGAATACGTGTAGAGTCTTTTTTAATGGTGATTCTTCTGACCTGAATAACACCCTGACCGGAAAAACACTCGAGGATTTCCCCGTCAGGGGTGCCCAATAGGTCAGTTTCAGAAATGATACCACGGCAGGAATTAAGAGTTTTGTGTGGACTAATTGTAACAGGACTATTGAGGAAATGCTTCGCAAATAAAAAGGATTTGGTTTGAAGAGCAGAGTTTGTTTCAACAAGCAGATCTCCGGAACGTAATCTTTTTACGGATTTCGGTTCACCACCTATTCCGATGAGAGCTTTTTGTATGTCAAAGGGTGATACTTTCGACATTTCATTGTTAGTAAGAGAAATGATTAAAAATCTTGATTGGGGTGAAAGTTTGTCAACGTCGATGTTTGGTAACATGAGGCCTTTACCTGGACAGGGATTTAAAGAAGTCAGGGGCTGAGCATCATGAGTTAGGATTGAGTGGGTTGGGGGTTTTAATAGATGCGTTTTGAGTTGTGTCTATATTTTGACTTATTTTGAATTTTTTTTTGAGAAAGGAGGAGGAGAATCCCTTTTGAGATGCAGAGGACCAGTTTGGCAGGGCTAGCCCTAGATTCAGCAACCAGTAGTGGCCTCGGGAGAGCCCCCCGCTCTGCAATGCAGGACCCCATCCATGCACCACCTGGAGCTACAAGACAGGCGGGATTATACACCAGCTGATAGAGAGGCAAGGACATGCTGGTTAGGCTGTCCCGGGCTCCTGTACTATCTGGCGGCCTGAGACGCAAAACTCAGCTTTTCTCCTGTACCCTCTACATGGCCGCTTCCTCCACATAATTCGGTTGAAAAAGACACAAGAGGAACAGTAACCTGCTTTCCTTCAAAACAGTTTAGCACAGTGGGCTCGACCGGAAATTGAAACGGGAACCTCTCGCACCTGAAGCGAGAAACATACCCCTTGACCGCCGAGCTACGGTTATGGGGGGTATTTTAAGTTTTACTGCGTTCAACATACTTGTTGGAGAATTTCTAAAATTGCAACTTGTGATAAGAATTGTTTGCATGACCAAGACTATTCTCCACTGATGTTACTTTTTGGATGTCATTTTTTAAATTAAAAAGGCAACATTTTACACATCAGGCTCGGTTCGGATGAGAACACTAAGCGTGGCGTACTCTGATGTCTCAATATCATGTCTCTAGAACACAGGACTACGTTTGGAGTGTTGTTAAGTCATTTATTTTCCAGTTGCTACTTTAGACAATATCTTTACTACGAAATGCTCGTGAGCAATGATATCTCAATACTTTGTTTATTTAAAATAGTTAAAAATTTAGACCACTTGAAAGGCTTTTCTTAAAATTTCCACATTGCAAAACATGCAATAGATTCTATTGTGAAAATTGCAACTTTAAAGGGGTGAAACTTTCAAAATGAAAAATCAGCATGGGAATTTTCATTTGGCTTATCACGTGTTACACGATCTCTACATCTCTTCGAAATTCAGGTATTTCGTATTCAATATCCTCGTGCTATTTGTGATATAGTTAGTGATTAACAATTAATCGGTCGTTAAAATCAATGCAAAAACCTAGAAAAGAAGGAGTACTTCGGGCCCGGCCTGGATTTGAACCCGAGACCTCTCGCATCCTAAGCAAGAACCATACCCCTAGACCACCGAGCCACGTTGAAGATTGTAAACAAATATGTGAACTTTACAGTACGAAGCAATATAATTACCAAAAACTCTGTAGGAACGTCTTGCAAAAATATTGTTCCAATACAATAAAGGTCTTTTGAGCATTCTTCGGGTTTGTAGTTTTATCGTTTTGATATTGCTGTTATACTTGGATAACGTAAAAAGAAATTTCCGGGATCTGAACCGGGGACCTCTCACACCCAAAGCGAGAATCATACCCCTAGAACACTGAGCAACGACGTATCAGTCTGATCCCAGCATTTAAAAGATATTCCATGAGAATATAATTTTTCAATGGACGTAAAATTAAGTAATTCCTTGCTTACTCCTGGGTTATCATAATTCTGTTGAAAAAGACACAAGAGGAACAGTAACCTGCTTTCCTTCAAAACGGTTTAGCACAGTGGGCTCGACCGGAAATTGAAACGGGAACCTCTCGCACCTGAAGCGAGAAACATACCCCTAGACCACCGAGCTACGGTTATGGGAGTATTTTTAGTTTTACTGCGTTTAACATACTTGTTCGAGAATTTCTAACAGGTGTCGTCCACGTCACTTGACCATGGTTCAAAATTACGTGGTCCGTCGCCAAAAGCCCTCGTGTAGCTGAACAGTGCGACGTTAATATTCAATCAATCAATCGAGAATTTCTAAAATTTAAATTTGTGTTAAAGATATTGTGCCTGATAAACGAGCCGTTTCTTTTAAATTGATAACGTGTTTGGTGGTTATTTGCTTTCCAAGAAAATTCTCCACTGGTGTTACTATTTGGATGCCATTTTTTCCATTCAAAAGGAAACATTTTACACATCAGGCTCGGTTCGGATAAGAAAACTGAGCGTGGCGCACTCTGATGTCTCATTATCATGTCTCTAGAAAAATTACGACGTTTGCTGTGTTGTTAACTCATTCATTTTCCTCTTGCAATTTTAGACAATATCTTTACTACGAAAAGCTCGTGGGCAATGATATCTCAATACTTTGTTTATTTAAAACTGTTAGGAATTTAGACCACTTGAAAGCTTTTCTTTAGATTACCCCTTTGCAAAACATGCAATCTATCCTATTGTGGAAAGGTCAACTGAAACTGTCGAAATAAAAATTATGTTTGGGAATTTGCAATTGGTAGAAGTCGTGTTACACTGTCTCTACATCTCTTCCAAAATTCTGTTCAATATCCGCATGCCGTTTTATAACGGGTCGTCAATTAACAGTTAATCTGTAGAAGAAATCCAAACAAAAACCTAGAAAAGAAGTATTTCAGGCACGGCCGGGATTTGAACACGGGACCTCTGGCACCCAAAGCGAGAATACCCCTAGACCAACGAGCCGTGTCGTATCAGTCTGATCCAAGCATTTAAAAGAGGTTCCAAGAGGAATGCAATTATAATTTTTCAATGGATAAAAAAGAAAATAATTCTTTGTTTACTCCTGGGTTTTCAAATTCCGTTGAAAAAGACACAAGAGGAATAGTAAAATGTTACGTTCGAAATGGTTTAGCACAGTGGGCTGGACCGGGAGTTGAACCCGGGACCTCTTCCACCCCAAGAGAGAATCATACCTCTAGACCACCGATCCTCGTTAAGGGTTGTAAACAAATTTGTGAACTTTACTGTAGAAAGCAATATATTAACCAAAAACTGTGTAGGAACGTCTTGCAAAAATATTGTTCCAATATAATAAAGATCTTTTTCACATTCTTCGCGTTTGTAGTTTTATCGTTTTGATATTGCTGTTATTTTTGGATGAAGTAAAAGGAGATTTCCGGGCTCCACCGGGATTTGAACCAGGGACCTCTCACACCCAAAGCGAGAAACATACCCCTAGACCATCGAGCCATGACGTATCAGTCTGATTCAAGCATTTAAAAGAGATTCCATGAGATTATAATTTTTCAACGGACGTAAAAGTAAGTAATTCCTTGCTTACTCCTGGGTTATCATAATTCGGTAGGGCTCGACCAGAAATTGAAATGGGAACCTCTCGCACCTGAATCGATAAACATACCCCTAGACCACCGAGCTACGGTTTTGGGAGTATTTTTAGTTTTACTGCGTTCAACATACTTGTTCGAGAATTTCTAAAATTGCAACTTGTGATAAGAATTGTTTGCACGTTAAACGAACCGTTTCCTTTAAATACATAATGAGCTTTTGGGATTATTTACTTTCCAAGACTATATTCTCCACTGATGTTACTTTTTGGATGTCATTTTGTAAATTAAAAAGGAAACAGTTTACACTTTAGGCTCGGTTCGGATGAGAAAACCAAGCGTGGCGCGTGAGTGTGAGTGAATGAATGTAGGGTTTTATGGCGCAAGAGCCAAATTTGGCTATACTGGGCCAGACGTTTGTTAAAATATTTTACATATGTTAAAAATACACAAGAAAAAAAAAGATATTAAAAATAATTACTATATATGTGCATGCCGGCATGCACATATATAAAAAAATAAAGTTAAAGTTAAAACAGTTTAAAAAGTCAAATCAAATATAAAAATCCAAGTCTTCTGATAAAAGCAAATAGGTTTTGGTGGGGTATTTCTCCCACCAAGTCAGGTAAAGTTAAATGTGATGAATTAAAAAAAGTGATGCGATAATTATTAAAAACAGGACAATCTATTAAAATGTGATGAACAGTGTAAGAGACATGGCATGAAGGACATTCAGGAGCACGTTCTCCAAACAACAAATGCCTGTGTGTGAAGCGAGTATGGCCAATGCGAAGACGAGTCAATTTGACATCAGTTCTTCGCATTGACATCACAGGCCATGCTCCTATGACAGGTTTCACAGAGTGCAGTTGGTTATCTAACTGCTGACTCCATGATTCCTGCCAGATCTTAAAAATAGGATGCATGATGACGCGCTTCATATCCGATAGCGGAACAGCTAGCGGCAGATGCGTCGTCGCCGACTTTGCCGCGCTGTCCGCTTGCTCGTTGCCTATGATTCCTACGTGACTTGGTAGCCAGCAAAACACGATAACGAGACCCTTGCCGTACAGTCGACTCATAATGTCCAGTATTTTACAAACCACTGCATGGCATCGATCATTATAGTTTTCAAGCGCTTCTAGTACATTCATGCTGTCAGTATAGATGCAGTAACCAAGCGTGGCGCACTCTGATGTCTCAATATCATGTCTCTAGAACACAGGACTACGTTTGGATTGTTGTTAAGTCATTCATTTTCCAGTTGCTACTTAAGATAATATCTTTACTACGAAATGCTCGTGAGCAATGATATCTCAATACTTTGTTTATTTAAAATAGTTAGAAATTTAGACCACTTGAAATTCTTTTCTTAAAATTTCCACATTGCAAAACATGCAATAGATTCTATTGTGGAAATTGCAACTTTAAAGGGGTGAAACTTTCAAAATGAAAAATCAGCATGGGAATTTGCATTTGGCTTATCACGTGTTACACGATCTCTACATCTCTTCGAAATTCAGGTATTTCGTATTCAATATCCTCGTACTGTTTTTGATATAGTTCGTGATTAACAATTAATCGGTCGTTGAAATCAATACAAAAACTTAGAAAAGAGTACTTCGGGCTCGGCCGGGATTTGAACCCGGGACCTCTCGCACCCTAAGCGAGAATCATACCCCTAGCCCACCGAGCCTAGTAGAGGTTTGTAAACAAATATGTGAACTTTACTGTACGAAGCAATATAATTACCAAAATCTCAGTAGGAACGTCTTGCAAAAATATTGTTCCAATACAATAAACGTCTTTTGAGCATTCTTCGGGTTTGTAGTTTTATCGTTTTGATATTGCTGTTATACTTGGATCAAGTAAAAAGAAACTTCCGGATTCTGAACTGTGGACGTCTCGCACCCTAAGCGAGAATCATACCCCTAGACCACCGAGCATCGTTAAAGTTGGTAAACAAATTTGTGAACTTTACTGTAGAAAGCAATATATTAAAGAAACATTCTGATGGAACGTCTTTCAAAAATATTGTTCCAATGTAATAAAGATCTTTTTCGCATTCTTTGTGTTGGTAGTTTTATCGTTTTGATATTGCTGTTATACTTGGATAAAGTAAAAAGAGATTTAAGGGCTCGACCGGGATTTGAACCCGGGACCTCTCGCACTCAAAGCGAGAATCATACCCCTAGACCACCGAGAAGAGTCGTATCCGTCTGATCCAAGCACTAAAAAGAGGTGCCAAGAAGAATGCAAATATAATTTTTCAATGAATTTAAAAGAAAATAATTCCTTATTTACTCCTGGGTTATCAAATTCTGTTGAAAAGGACACAAGAGGAACAGTAAAACGTACCCTTCGTAACGGTTTAGCACATTGGGCTCGAACTGGAATTGAACACGGGCCTCTCACACCCTGAGCGAGAATCATACCCCTAGACCACCGAGCATCGTTAAAGATTGTAAACAAATTTGTGAACTTTACTGTAGAAAGCAATATATTAAACAAACATTCTGATGGAACGTCTTGCAAAAATATTGTTCCAATATAATAAAGATCTTTTTCGCATTCTTTGCGTTTGTAGTTTTATCGTTTATATATTGCTGTTATACTTGGATGAAGTAAAAAGAGATTTACGGGCTCGACCGGGATTTGAACCCGGGACCTCTCGCACCCAAAGCGAGAATCATACCCCTAGACCATCGAATCATGTCGCATCCGTCTGAACCAAGCATTTAAAAGAGATTCCAAGAGGAATGCATTTATAATTTTTCAATGGACGTAAAAGTAAGTAATTCCTTGCTTACTCCTGGGTTAACATAATTCTGTTGAAAAAGACAAAAGAGGAACAGTAACCTGCTTTCCATGAAAACGGTTTAGCACGGTGGGTTCGACCGGAAATTGAAACGGGAACCTCTCGCACCTGAAGCGAGAAACATACCCCTAGACCACCGAGCTACGGTTATGGGGGGTATTTTTAGTTTTATTGCGTTCAACATACTTGTTCGAGAATTTTTAAACTTGCAACTTGTGATAAGAATTGTTTGCATGATAAAAGAACCGTTTCCTTTAAATACATAATGAGCTTGGGGATTATTTACTTTCCAAGACTATATTTTCCACTGATGTTACTTTCTGGATGTCATTTTTTCAATTAAAAAGGAAACATTTTACACTTTAGGCTCGGCTCGGATGAGAAAACCAAGCGTGGCGCACTCTGATGTCTCAATATCATGTCTCTAGAACACAGGACTACGTTTGGAGTGTTGTTAAGTCATTCATTTTCCAGTTGCTACTTTAGACAATATCTTTACTACGAAATGCTCGTGAGCAATGATATCTCAATACTTTGTTTATTAAAAATAGTTAGAAATTTAGACCACTTGAAAGGCTTTTCTTAAAATTTCCACATTGCAAAACATGCAATAGATTCTATTGTGGAAATTGCATTTTTAAAGGCGTGAAACTTTCAAAATGAAAAATCAGCATGGGAATTTGCATTTGGTTTATCACGTGTTACACGATCTCTACATCTCTTCGAAATTCAGGTATTTCGCATTCAATATCCTCGTGCCGTTTTTGATATAGTTCGTGATTAACAATTAATCGGTCGTTGAAATCAATACAAAAACTTAGAAAAGAAAGAGTACTTCGGGCTCGGCCGGGATTTGAACCCGGGACCTCTCGCACCCTAAGCGAGAATCATACCCCTAGACCACCGAGCCTCGTAGAGGTTTGTAAACAAATATGTGAACTTTACTGTACGAAGCAATATAATTACCAAAATCACTCTAGGAACGTCTAGCAAAAATGTTGTTCCAATACAATAAACATCTTTTGAGCATTCTTTGGGTTTGTAGTTTTATCCTTTTGATATTGATGTTATACTTGGATGAAGCAAAAATAAATTTCCGGATTCTGAACCGTGGACCTCTTGGACCCAAAGCGAGAATCATACCCCTAGACCACTGAGCCGTATCTTTCTTATCCAAGCATTTAAAAGAGGTTCCAAGAGGATTGCAATTATAATTTTTCAATGTTTGGAAAGAAAATATTTCCTTGTTTACTCCTGGGTTATCAAAATCTGTAGAAAAAGACACAAGAGGAACAGTAAACTGTTTTCCTTAAAAACAGTGGGCTCGACCGGGAATTGAACCCGGGACCTCTCACACCCGAAGCGAGAATCATACCCCTAGACCACCGAGCCTCGTTAAGGTTTGTAAACAAATTTGTGAACTTTACTGTAGAAAGCAATATATTAAACAAAAACTCTGTAGGAACGTCTTGCAAAAATGTTGTTCCAATATAATAAATATCTTTTTCACATTCTTCGCGTATGTAGTTTTATTGTTTTGATATTGCTGTTATACTTGGATGAAGCAAAATGTGATTTCCGGGCTCGACCGGGATTTGAACCGGGACCTCTCGCACCCAAAGCGAGAATCATACCCCTAGACCACCGAGCCGTGTCGCATCAGCCTTATCCAAGCACTAAAAAGAGGTGCCAAGAAGAATGCAATTATAATTCTTCAATGGATGAAAAAGAAAAAAATTCCTTATTTACTCCTGGGTTATCAAATTCTGTTGAAAAGGACACAAGAGGAACAGTAAAATGTTCCCTTCAAAACGGTTTAGCACAGTGGGCTCGACCTGGAATTGAACCCGTGGCCTCTCGCACCCTAAGCGAGAATCATACCCCTAGACCACCGAGCCTCGTTAAGGTTTGTAAACAAATTTGTGAACTTTACTGTAGAAAGCAATATATTAACCAAACATTCTGATGGAACGTCTTGCAAAAATATTTTTCCAATATAATAAAGATATTTTCGCATTCTTTTCGTTTGTAGTTTTATCGTTTATATATTGCTGTTATACTTGGATGAAGTAAAAAGAGATTTACGGGCTCGACCGGGATTTGAACCGGGACCTCTCGCACCCAAAGCGAGAATCATACCCCTAGACCATCGAACCATGTCGCATCCGTCTGAACCAAGCATTTAAAAGAGATTCCAAGAGGAATGCATTTATAATTTTTCAATGGACGTAAAAGTAAGTAATTCCTTGCTTACTCCTCGGTTATCATAATTCTGTTGAAAAAGACACAAGAGGAACAGTAACCTGCTTTCCGTCAAAACGGTTTAGCACGGTGGGTTCGACCGGAAATTGAAACGGGAACCTCTCGCACCTGAAGCGAGAAACATACCTCTAGACCACGGAGCTACGGTTATGGGGGGTATTTTTAGTTTTATTGCGTTCAACATACTTGTTCGAGAATTTCTAAAATTGCAACTTGTGATAAGAATTGTTTGCGTGATAAAAGAACCGTTTCCTTTAAATACATAATGAGCTTGGGGGATTATTTACTTTCCAAGACTATTTTCCACTGATGTTACTTTTTGGATGTCATTTTTTAAATTAAAAAGGAAACATTTTACACTTTAGGCTCGGTTCGGATGAGAAAACCAAGCGTGGCGCACTCTGATGTCTCAATATCATGTCTCTAGAACACAGGACTACGTTTGGAGTGTTAAGTCATTCATTTTCCAGTTGCTACTTAAGAAAATATCTTTACTACGAAATGCTCGTGAGTAATGATATCTCAATACTTTGTTTATTTAAAATAGTTAGAAATTTAGACCACTTGAAAGGCTTTTCTTAAAATTTTCACATTGCAAAACATGCAATAGATTCTTTTTTGGAAATTGCTACTTTAAAGAGGTGAAACTTTCAAAATGAAAAAACAGCATGGGAATTTGCATTTGGCTTATCACGTGTTACACGATCTCTACATCTCTTCGAAATTCAGGTATTTCGTATTCAATATCCTCGTGCTGTTTTTGATATAGTTCGTGATTAACAATTAATCGGTCGTTGAAATCAATACAAAAACTTAGAAAAGAAAGAGTACTTCGGGCTCGGCCGGGATTTGAACCCGGGACCTCTCGCACCCTAAGCGAGAATCATACCCCTAGACCACCGAGCCTCGTTAAGGGGTCACAGGGGTGTTAAAAATGTTTCGAGAGCACAAAATACAAACAATTTTCGACTAGAAATAATTCTTTGAGATTAAAATGAAATAAATTGAGTCTTTCACACATTTCTTATAAACGAATAAAGTTTCAAAAAAGTATAAAATATCTAAAATATAATCATAATTTAAAAATAATAAGCACATAAAATAAGAAAATTTTTTGTAAGAAACAAATAGTAAGTTTTACGACGCGCATGATATTTTCTGCAATAATAATTCTAATTACTAGCAATAAGTTGATTTATAAAGTGAAATATATGCTTATTACATGCTAGCCTATCTTATATAAATAAAAAAAAATAATAAATAATATTTTTAAAAATAAAAAAAATACATTTTTTAAATTTTTTTTAAAAACTTCAATTTTTGTTGAAATATTTCAAAAAATTAAAAAATTCTAATACTATAAATAGCTAGGATTTGAAGATTATGATAGAATTTATAATTCTGTAAAGTTTTATACATCAAAGTATGATAGGTTTGGAAACGCAATGCGCGTAATTGAAAAAAACACAAACTGAGAAAAAGGGCTTTAAAGTTTTAAAATTGAATTTGAGAAAATAAATCTAAAACCTTACATGCTAAAATGCTCCAGGATCATAAGATATACCTTCCTATTCCTGAAACAGCTCAATTTCTTTACTCTTTTTAATTTTCTTTGCTCTGCGAGCTTCAAAAGAGGATTCTAAGCGCCTCTGTCTTAACGTAAAGATTCGACGATTGTCACGTTCAGCCAGGGACACACAATCATTTCTGTTAATTTTCAAGCTAAATTTCTCTAAAATAGTAATTAGTATTTGATTTCCATCATTAAAAACACTGGTTGCTAGATTTGCAGCAATCTCTGCAATCTGAAGACTAGAACCAATCGTCTTAGGACAAAACTTCCAAATTAATGAATTTAAACTTTCATTAAGATTCTCTGTGTCTTACCTCCTAAACATTTCTTCAGGAGTGCCGGATGAGATAAGTTTGCAAATACAGGCTTAATTACATCCGGAACAGCTTTAGCAACTGAGGGTTTGTGTTTATAATTTTGTAAATTATTATTAATTGCGGCATTATACTTACACCATGTATTTGGATTTGTAGGACAAAACCAGGGCATCGGTTCATCATCAGTGCTGCAAGAATGACCCCAAACAGCCCAAATGGCTTTCCGCATTTCCTTT